ACAGAGGGGTGTGTAGCTCAAAGGGGGGGGGGGGGTGAGGAAAGGGTGCACGGATCACAGGCGTGCAAAGGATGGCGGCGGCAAGGACCGCAGCGGCGTAGACCCACGCATCCAGCAGCCCGCTGCTGGGAGGAGGGTACACGATTACGTCAGCCTACCGGCTGCCGCGTTGGAGGCTCGCCGGCGTCAGCCAACCTGCAGATTCGCCGGAAGAACCCCAGCAGGTGGGCGTTTTGTATCAGGTCCCCGCGCTCGTCCCGCATGGCGCGGATGAATTGGAACAGCCATATCGAAGCATCTGTGGGTTGCAGTCACAAGGGTCGGGGGACACAGGTGGGCGAGGCTGCGACAGCACAGTAGCTTGAATGCCCCTGAGCGGCTGGACTGAGGGCCCATTCGCATGCGCTCAGGCAGGTGCTTTTCACGGCCAGGGACAGCCAACTTGTAAGGGTTATGGACATTCACAACAGGCATTGCAGCTGGGCGCCGCAGAAATATCAAAGCAGCGATCGCGCCGCTCCTCATGCTGTGCTTCGCTCCCGCCCACAGCGACCGTGGGCACGCCCTTGCCCACGCCGGCCACGGGCGCCCACCGACTGCAAGACGCTTGTTTGTGATAGCCTCGATGTTGATGCGGCGCCCCACCGGCTCCAGAAGCGGCCAGAGGCCGTGCACTCCCATGTTGCAACCTGATCGCTGACACGAACAGCAATATTACCAGGCTATGAAAAAAATAGTTTTAGTTAGAAGCCCGGCAATCAGCAGTCACGTCGTGCTGCTCATGCTGCGCTCCGCGAGATCACTCCTTGCAGTCGCTTCGTTTCAAAAGAGCCTAGCATGCCATACACACTTCTTGCGATGCGCAGCAGTGCACGCCACGCGAACGTAAGTGTCACCCGAAGCATTTGTCACACCCGCGTGTCACGCCATATTTTATCGTGCACCTTGCGCCATCGATCATTTGACTCATCGTTAATGAACCACCAGTGATGTACTTTGCTCCTTTCGAAGCAACCTGTGGACACCCTGCCCTGTAGCTCTCTATTTTGCCGTCAGCCCGGCTCTCCTTGCTTTATTGGGAGCGCAACTCAGAGACATTTATCGCCTCGTCCCACGAAGCGAGAGATAGCAACCAAAGCGGCGATCGCTGGGCCCAGCAACACACGCGCCACCCCGCTGCACGCTCTGGCTTGATGCAGTGGGTCCGGCCACGAGCGGAGGACGGCGGCAGGATCCCCTACTCCCGCAGCTGATGAGGCGGTAGTCAACCTTACGTCGCTATATCTCAATGTTTCGCGGGCTGTATGGGGGCGCCCCAGAGGCCAGCTTCCACCTCGAGCTGGAGTATGGGCCCCCAGATGAGCCTGGAGCACCCCCCTCGCCGCCCGCGCGGGCGTCCGCCAGCGGCGCGGCGTACACGCCGCACCCGCCGCCGCCCGGCCCGCGCCTAGACATCGACTGGTCCCAATCCGACGAGGAGGCGGCCGTCACGGGGCGCCTCGCGCGCGCCGCCGCCGCGCTCGTCGCCGCGCACGCGTCCGAGCGCGTCTCGGTGACCCTCTCCGCGGCGCCGCCGCCCGACCCCGCCCCATCCAGCGCCGGCGGCGCCGTCGTCCTCGCCTCGGAATTCCAAGAGCCGCCCGCGCCGCGGCTGGAGCTGCGGCTGTCCTACACCCGCACGGCCCCGGTCCTGAGGGCGCTCACGTTCAAACGGACCTCCGGATCTGGCGCCGCTTCCGAGTCTCTCGTCACCGCGCTGCTGCGCCAGCTGGACACCAGCACCGCGCGGCGCCTGAAGCTCTGCGAGGGGCTCGGCTGGGCGGCCGCCGCGTGGGGCGTGGAGCCGCGGCGGTGGGGGGCGCTGCGCGGGCTGAGCCTCAGCGGGTGTGGGCTGGCGTCGCTGCCGCCGGTCGTCGGGGACCTGCCCCGCATCAAGGTGGGCACGCACGCGAGTTTCTATTTGTCCAATGCAGCAAGGGGCCTGCAGATCGGCGTCTGAGGGGCCAGCCGCGTTTGTCGCCGACGCAGGGTGCTCTCTGGCAGTGGCGGCCTGTGAGCGGGGTGGCGGTTGTGCAGGCCATGTGGCCACCAGGCAAGCAGCAGCCATGGGTGCGTTTCATAACAACCTCGCTGCGGAGCTGACGCCGCTCCGCCTCGTTCTGGCGGCAGGTGCTGAGGCTCAGCAACAACAAGCTGACAGCGCTGCCGGCAGAGGTGGGTGGGCAGCCGATGCCTGCTCTGATGCGCCCGCTCTGCAGCTGCGAACGCAACCAGCGGCTGGGAGGCTGCTTCGCGCCCACCCACACTTGACTGCATCACAACCTGGGTGCCGAACGTGCCCAGTCCAGTGGCGAATGCCCGGCGCTGGTCTGCCGCTTGGCAAGCCCTGGCTGCGGGGTCGCTCCCCTTGCCGCAACGTGACAAAGCAGCGAAGCGTCCGCTGATACGCTGTTGGCCCCGCACTCAGATTGGCCGCCTGTCTGAGCTGGAGCTGCTGGCGGCAGACAACAACCTGGTGGGGCGGGGGGATGAGAAACTCATGTTACTGCCTCGCGATGGCGTCGTTCCAGGCCTGCTTACCCCGCCTCGCCACCAAACCTGCGCTCCTTGCTGCCCCACAGCGCTGCGCCCCATAGCGCTACAACACCTGCACACCTGGCCCGCCGGATCCCCATGCCAACTTCCCGCCATAATCCAGCTGGCTTTCCACACCCATCACCTCCACCTCTGATCCTCAGCCCCTCGACCCAAACCTGAGCGCTCCCGACAGTTTCCCCCACCATTTACCCCGCCCCCACCGCCCCCAGCTGTCGGCCGTCCCCGCGGACCTCCATTACTGCCGCGCCCTCCGCGAGCTGGACCTGTCCAACAACAGGATCGCCAAGCTGCTGTTCGACCTGCGCACCCTGGGGCGGCTGGAGAGCCTGCAGCTCTACGGCAACCCACTCGAGTACCTGCCAGAGCTCACGCCCGCCACCGCCCTGCGCTCCCTGTCCCTCGCAAATGTGCGTGCGCGCCGCGGGCCGCGCTGCTTCAATTCGCTGCTTGCTGCCGGCGGGGCGTTATTCGAGCCTCCTGCTCCGAATTGGCGACGGCGCACTGTTGTCTCCTAGAGGGCCGTGGCGTTCAACACTGGGCAGTCGCACGGCAGGCTGCGCGTGCGCAGGCCGTGGCCACGATGCTTGATACACGCAGGCCGCGGCTGCCTGCCATTTCCCCCCCTCAGCCCACAAGCAGCCCTGCGCCCTGGTGTCAGCCTCCTCCCATTCCCATGAGTCATCCACTCCCTGGGGGCCCGGGAATGGGCCCCCATGCGTCCTCCCCTGCATGAAGCTCTGAAGCATAACAGCTACCCATAGCACCCTACCCCGGGTTCACACGCACACGCACACGCACACGCACACGCACACGCACACTCACTCACACACACACACACAAACACACACACACACACACACACACACACACACACACACTCCAGGTGCGCATCCTGTCGGACGCGGCCTTCTCCCGCTTTGAGGTCGAGCTGGCTGCCCCTGCGACCACCAGCTACAGCGCCATCGTGCTGGGCGTCGCGCCCCACAAGCTCACGCCGCTGTTCGGCCTCATCTTCAAGCGCAGCACCATACAGCACCCCCTGCTGGCCGGGGCACTGGGTGAGGGATGCGGCGCCCGGACGCGGGTCGCGTGCGTGTCCATTGCGCTTGCGCTCTGCAGAGTTTGCGGCGCGAGGCTCCCGGGCTCTGTTTGCCAGCTTTGGAATTCCACTGCAAAAGCGCTGCAGGAATGGCTGAGCGTCGTTCCGCCTAACAAGCTTCCCCCTCCTCCCGCCACCCCGGCGCACTCGCTCAGTTTCCCATCGCTTTTGCCCCTCACCCCCCTGCCTCCGACGCGTCCACCAATCACCCGTCTCCCGGCCTTCTCCCGACTCCCCCTCCCCCCCTTTTCCAGCGCGTCTGTGTGAGGACCCCTCCAACCTGGAGCTGCTGGCCAGGGAGGACGTGGCGCTGCAGCAGCTCGTCGCAAGTGAGGCCTGCGTGGGTGTTTCTGAAGTTTTCACACGGCGCCCTCAATGCGCTGAGCGGCGTGGGCCTTGTATTTTTGCATCTCCTGATGGCGCGGCAGCACTGCACCTGGACCCTAAACCCTGAATCCAGACATCTTGGGCGACAGGGCCTTCCCCCTCTGGCCACCAGCCAGAGGGGGATAGGGGGCGCGCTCTGGTTGTGAAGTTGTTGGGTGACCTCGGCAGCACCTGTGTGTGTGTATGTGTTTGTGTATGCTGATGTTGTTGTTGTTTGCACTGAACGCACGAAGCAGGGAACGCTGCCTGGTTGCAACCCACCACATCCTCACATGAATTGGGCTCGCCAATGTCTTGCCAACGATTGCCAATCCGCACCCCAGTGGCCATCAGCGACGACGCGCGCGTGATGCGCCACGCGTGCGCCATGCTGTGCGCGCTGGGCGCGGTGGGGGACGCGTCGTCCCGGCTCGTGCGGGCCAACGCCATCCGCGCGGTGTGCGTGCTGGTGGGCTCCGACGACAAGGTGCGAGGGGGGGCGGCCTTGCATACCCTCGCCTGGGGCACAGGGTGGTGGCTGGCGCTGGAACCCGACTGGGGGCGGCGGCTGTCGCCTCCCCTTGCTCCAGCGAGATTTTGCCCGCCGACCTCGTGTGTTCAGTCTGATGCGCAGTCCTAGTTACTGAGGCGCGACTGGTAAGCGTCGACACCCCCTCTACGCCCCGATGCAACCAGACTTCCCCCAGCCCCTTGCTTCAGCTACACGC